GGCTGCTGCGGGGGCTTCACTGCCTGGGCAAACGGGCCGGGACCTGCAAGCATTGCTTCGGGAAGCATCGGCGGGGGCAGCGGCAGCTGCTGCTGCGTAGGCGACCAGGGAGAGGCCAGCGAGCTAGAGGAGCGCATGGCCTTCAGCTGCTGCACCTGCTGCAGCTGCAGCTGCTGCAGCTGCTGCATCTGCAGCTGCTGCAGCTGCTGCAGATGCATGTGCTGCAAATCCTGGAGTTGTCTCAGGGACTGCTCAGCGGAATTCATTGCCGACTGGCTCCTTAACTGCTGCATCAGCTGCTGCTGCTGCTGCTGCTGTTGCTGCAGGAGCTGCTGCAGCTGCTGCAGCTGAAGCTGCTGCAGCTGCTGCAGCTGCATTAGCTGCACTATGGCTGTTTGATCCTTCGCCTGCTGCATCTGCTGCAGCGCGGCGCTCTGTCGTTGCCGCTGTTGATGCAGCGAATCCCGGTCGGCGCGCCGTTCCCGTGAACTCCCGCGCTGCTGCTGCTGCTGCTGCTCCGACTCTGACGGCCGCTGTTTAGTGCCTCCTGCTGCTGCTGCGTCTCTCGCCTTCCGGGCATCACCCCGCTGCTTCTCGTGCACCCGCTGCGCGTCCGCGATCTCCGAAGGTGGTGGCCCTCTCTGCATCCGCTGCATCTGCTGCATCTGCTGCAGCTGCTGCAGCTGCTGCAGCTGCTGCAGCTGCTGCAGCTGCTGCAGCTGCTGCAGGCCGGGTTCTCTGGGCCCCATGGGAAATCCGGGAGGGGGGCCCCCAAGCCGGGTTTGCCCCATCTGCATTTGCTGCATTTGCTGCATTTGCTGCACTTGCTGCATGTGCTGTAACTGCTGCATCTGCTGCTGCTGCTGCATCGAAGCCACGTGCTGCGACAGCATTTCCCGCTGCAGCCGCAGCGCCTGCTTGACAGTGTTTTGCCGCTGCAGCTTCCGCACCCGCTGCAGCTGCTGCATGCTCTCCAGCTGCAGCAGCAGCTCCTGCCGATCATCCTGCTGCTCCGGCTTGACTTCTCGCTGCCCCGCAGCTGCTTGCTGCTGCTGTGCAGCAGCAGCAGAAGGCCCCTGCTGCAGCCACCACTCAACAGAAGTAGCAGCAGTTCCCGGTCTAGAGGCCCTTGTCACTCTGCTGGCCTCACCGCTGCCGCTCCAGTCAGCTGAGCTGCTGCTGTGTCTGCTGCTGCTGCTGCCGCCGCTCCAGCTGTGCACGCTGCTGGTGCTGCTGACGCTTCTGCGGCTTATGCTGCTTCTCTGGCTGCTGCCGTCGGGGCCATCTGCTGCTGTTGCTGCTGCCGCTCCGTCTTCCAGTTTGGGTACCTTCGCCTGCGGCTCCTGTGCTGCAGCAGCAGCTTCTGCTGCTGCAGCAAGAGCGTGCAGCTTCTCTTCATCTGCTGCAGTGCCTGGGGGAGCAACAAATTCGGGTTTGAGCCCAGCTTCAGTCAGCTGCTGCAGCAAACCCTCGGTGGGCCTCTCGGGGGCCCCCGAGGGGGCCCCCGAGGGGGCC